CAAATCTTAGCCCAAGTGAAAAACAAACCTTGGGTAAGAAGACCGCCACCCTTGAAAGGAGATCCAGACAAGAGGGATACAAGCAAATACTGTGCCTTCCATGGGACACACGGGCACACTACCAATAACTGCCTCGCTTGGAAAGCACACCTTGAAGAACTCGTGAAAGAGGGTCATTGCACGGAGTTCATCGCGAAGCAGGCCATCCAGCGGATTGAAGATCGAGACACCGCCAAGGAACCGCCCCAGAAGGTCATAAGGATTAACACAATCCTAGCCGACGCCAAGGAGTCAGGACTGACCAGCAAGGAAAAGAAGAGGAAGATCAAACAGGCCACTATGATCTCCCAAGTCTCGACTGACCTTCTACCAACAGAAGACGATCCTATAATCGGCTTCCAAAAGAAAGATCTGATCGGCCTCGACATGCCACATAACGATGCCCTTGTCATCAGCATACAAATCGCTCAGGCCATGGTCGACCGAATCCATGCAGACGAGGGCAGCGCAGCCAATATCTTGCAACTGGCTGTCATCCAGCAGATGGGCTTGGAGGCAAAGATCAACAAATCAGCCAGATCGCTGACCGGCTTCAATGGCGCAACAACGGTTACCGTGGGCACAATAGACCTTGACGTCTACTCCCCACCTGTAGTCTGCTTGCAAACGTTCATGGTCATTAATGAGGTCTCACCCTACAACGGCATTCTGGGCAGGCCATGGATCGGCATGATCAACGCCATCACCTCTGCCACACATCAGAAAATTCGGTACCCAATCCCTGGGGGCGGTGTTGGACAAATCAACAGCGATCAGGCAATGGCGAGGAAATGCTCCGCCCAAGGGCTGAAGAAAAGCAAGCAAGCGCAGTTCCTCCCAGTAAGCCAGGCAGATCTGAAGGAGGTGGAACAATCGAACCTTGCTATCTTATAGCAATCAAAGCGTCAGGACCAAGCCGAGGAAATCCGTCCAGAGGTCTTTCCTGAAGAAGGATGGAAGCCCGAGGAGGACATCGAGTTAATACCCTTGGATCCTGACCAGCCAGACAAAAAAGCGCGGATCGGCTCGCGCCTAAGCCCAGACGAGAAGGTGGAACTTACCACTTTCCTCCAGAACAACAAAGATATGTTCGCATGGTCGCCGTCAGACATGCCTGGTATCGACCCGAACATCATATGTCACCGACTCCACGTCAACCCTGCCTGCAAACCAGTGGCGCAGAAGAGGCGCAACTTCGCACCCGAGCGGGTCGCCATCATCGAAGCCGAGATTGATAAACTCCTAGCCGCCGGCTTCATTGAAGAGGTCTCCTACTCGGAGTGGCTCGCTAATGTTGTTCTAGTGGCAAAACAAGAGAAGGGAAAGTGGAGAGTCTGCGTCGATTACACCGACCTCAACAAAGCGTGCCCAAAAGACAACTTTCCATTGCCAAGAATCGACCAACTAGTGGATTCCACTTCTGGCAATCAGCTACTCAGCTTCATGGACGCCTACTCCGGCCTACACAAAAAAAAAAAAAAAAAAAAAAAAAAAAAAAAAAAAAAAAAAAAAAAAAAAAAAAAAAAAAAAAAAAAAAAAAAAAAAAAAAAAAAAAAAAAAAAAAAAAAAAAAAAAAAAAAAAAAAAAAAAAAAAAAAAAAAAAAAAAAAAAAAAAAAAAAAAAAAAAAAAAAAAAAAAAAAAAAAAAAAAAAAAAAAAAAAAAAAAAAAAAAAAAAAAAAAAAAAAAAAAAAAAAAAAAAAAAAAAAAAAAAAAAAAAAAAAAAAAAAAAAAAAAAAAAAAAAAAAAAAAAAAAAAAAAAAAAAAAAAAAAAAAAAAAAAAAAAAAAAAAAAAAAAAAAAAAAAAAAAAAAAAAAAAAAAAAAAAAAAAAAAAAAAAAAAAAAAAAAAAAAAAAAAAATTTACAAGGTTCTTTGCCCTCATCTTTGATGAATTTCACAAACCTTGTAGAACTACACTTGGGATCCAATCCAACAACTTGGAAGGAGATATCTGCGTGCTTGATTTTTCCAGACTTAGTCAATAACTTTACTGGTACGTTTCCAATAAGCATTTACTCATGTAGGTCCTGAAAGCAATTCAATTGACTTCAAGTCATCTAGGGGGGCAAATACAACCTCAGATTCTTTCACATCAAGTCATCTTGGGGGGGCAATTCAATTGACTTCAAGTCATAACTGCATCGCTTTCAAGCTAACCGCTAACCAGAAGAAAATCAAAAAATTAGATGCAACTTTCACAGAACTGCCTTTTAGCTTGCAGCTTGCTCGAAATGCGACATCTGCATGCCAACATCCAAACACTCGTCTCCTAGAATTATTCTCCACAACTCAACACAATACACTTGTTCCTGGTGGGGTTCATTTTATAGCTATCAATATATTTAGCAAGTAGTTGTTAAGTTGTTCCTGGTGGGGGTCAATAACTTTACTGGTACGTTTCCAATAAGCATTTACTCATGTAGGTCCCTGAAAGCAATTCAATTGACTTCAAGTCATCTAGAGGGGCAAATACAACCTCGGATTCTTTCATTGAAATACTTGTCCTCCCTCTCAATTGGTGGCAATAGATTGACCAATGTCACAGGAGCAACGAAAATACTAATGTGTTGCACAAGTCTTCGCACACTCTTCCTTTCAGAATCCTTTATAACTGCATCGCTTTCAAGCTAACTAAAAGAAAATCAAAAAATTAGATGCAACTTTCACAGAACTGCCTTTTAGGTTGCAGCTTGCTCGAAATTACATAATTGCTATCTTCCACTACAAATGCAACATCCGCATGCCAACATCCAAACACCCGCCTCCCAGAATCATTCTCCACAACTCAACACAATTCACTTGTTCCTATCAATATATTCAGCCACTAGTTGTTAACTTGTGCCCACTCTGAGGGTCGAACATTATTGCTCTACCAAGATATTATAGTAGTTGCATTCTTGTGGGGCAAACAACTTGGAAAGAATGACTATCCTCCATTTTGAATTTTCTTAGAAGAATCATCAACAAGAAAACAACTTTGAACATGAATAGGATGTCAATGTATAATGTTGACTGGCACTGTCACTCACAGGCCATATCTATCTGGCAAGAAAAATAACACCATATATCTTCCAAATTCCATGAAAAATTATCGTCATAATGAAAGAAAACACCAATGAGGGAAAGCACACGTCAAACGTGTGGAGATAAGATACTCAAAAGACAAGATGAGTTCTTAGAAGAATCATCAACAAGAAAAACAACTTTGAACTTGAACTTTGGCCGGCTGTCGTTTGAGAGAGAGAGGGAGCGTGAGGTCGTGAGGGAGAGAGTGTGAGAGTGAGAATAATCTGAGTTTTTTAAAAATCCAACTTCGAGTTATTTACGGTTGTGCCACTGCACTTCCGTTGATCGTTACTTCTTCGTTACAACTCCGATTTGAGCCTACTATGTGTTTAAGAACTCGTATCGACGTGCTTTATGCAACGGTGTAATTCATTTCCCCAAAATCCTACCGGATTAAAAAGTGACCAAAATGACCCTATCTCCGAGGGCAAAATTGTAATTTCACAATTAATTAATTAAATAATTTAAAAGGATAATAACAATAGGGTCAGGGTGTTATAGTTCTTCTTGAACTCGTTTGTTTTATTTTCAAAAACTTATTTTTGGTCAAACTTACTAGTTTTTATTGTGGGAAATTATAAAGTCCCCACCGTTCTGAGGTAAGAAAAGAACTTTCTTGGGAGATATTGCTCACCCAAATTCACAATTACTTTATCAAAGTGAATAGCTTGGGGCGCAAGTTATTACAGTCTACAGTTTGTTAGGGTTTTTAACCGTTAACTGTGGCACGCTCGCACATAAAAGAAAGTTGACTTGTTGACCACTAATGATTTTCAAGTCAATGAGGAACTTTACCCTAACACCACAGGAACTACATTTAAACGGGTAAACAGGAGGTAAGAATATTCTCATTTCTTCCAGTTGCAATGAAAAAGTTAAAGTATTTGTAGCATTTTAATCAATTAAGTTATAAACTTATGAAGTACGATTGCCTAATCTGTTGGGGCAGTCATTACCATGGTTTTAATTCTTTTTGTACCTTTTTTTTCCCTGGGAAATGATACTGTAGGGCTAATTAGCTAACTGGAGTTATGATTTGGACTTAGGCCTCTGCTATTTTGGGGATCTCTTAGTTGGGTCAGGTCTCTGAAGCCTGTTTGATTTGTATTTCTAATTCTATGTAGTTGCTTCTGGGGTGCATTGCCCTCCCCACCCCAGTTCACAAAGAAAAAAAAGACAGTGTTGGTCTCTAGAATTCGATGATGAAAATTTTCCTCTTAGGCAGTCAATGTTAGCCTTGGAAGTTCGCATAATTGCTTTTTGAATGTTGGGGCTCATTCTATTGCTAAATATAGTTATTAAGTTGTGCCCACTCAGAGGGTTGAACATTATTGCTATCAATATTTTATTATAGTTGTTAGTTGGAAGTTCGCATTATTGCTATCAACATTATTGCAATCAACTTGGAAAAAAATGACTATCCTCCAATTTCGAATTTTCCAGTTTGAATTCAAAACATATTCTAGTTTGAATTCAACAACGATTCTGTTTATCACCTATATCACGGTCAAGTCCTCTCCTGGTAGCCCAAAGGTTTCAATATCAATAATTTGCATTTTGTGGTTGTTGTTTGCATCCAAATCTAAAAACACATTAACTACATCCGTGAGATTTTTTATTACTGTTAAAAAAAAATCATGACACATCCTATACAGCTCATAAAGTCGATAACGCAACCAGCATGGATATTGGCAAGGGAAACAAGTTTGAGTACTTTGTGAAGGCCAAGTCCTCTTCTGGTGGCCCAAAGGTTTCAATATCAATAATTTGTATTCAGTGGTTGTTGTTTCCCGACTTATCAATTTGCATTGTGTGGTGGTGGTTTGCATCGTTTTCAAGCATGGTTGTGCTTATATATATAAATACATGTGAGCAACGGCACATACACAAAGCAACATGCTAGTGCAAGCTAATAACCTAATGGCTCATGGCTTCCTTCTCTTCCTCTTACTCTCTTGCATTATATCTACAAATATTCATGCCTGCAAAGAAACTGACCACAGCTCCCTCCTATTCTTTGCCTCCACTCTATCTTCTCCTCCTTTAAATTGGACATCCATTGATTGCTGTCGTTGGAAGGGCATCACTTGTGATCAAGATGGTTGGGTCACCCGTTTGCTCTTGCCTTCCAAAGGGCTCAAAAGAGATATCTCTCCCTTTTCACTTGCAAATCTCACACATCTCACCCACTTGAACCTTTCCCACAATTCACTATATGGTTCACTTGAAACTCAGTTCTTCTTTTCTTTGAATCAACTCGAGATCCTTGATTTGAGCTATAACCGTCTTTTTGGAGAGCTACCACTTTCTCCATCGTCCAGCAATATCCGGATAGTCGATTTGTCCAGCAATCACTTCTTTGGTGCAATTCCATCTTCATTCTTCCAACAAGCAAGCAACTTAACTAGTTTCAATGTCAGCAACAATAGCTTCACAGGGTATGTCCCATCCTCTATTTGTCTCCAACATTCTTCTCCCTTCCTTAGGCTATTGGATTTTTCTTCCAATCATTTAATGGCGACCTTGCTCCTGGGTTAGGGAAGTGTTCTGAACTGCAGGTTTTTCGTGCCAATCACAATAACCTCTCGGGATTACTTCCAGAAGATATCTATAATGCTACCAAACTGGAAGAAATTGCATTACCTCTCAATTCACTACATGGAGCCATTAGTGGTAAAATTGTCAACCTCACCAACCTTGCCATCCTTGACCTTTCCTCTAATCATTTTGGCGGCAAGCTTCCTCTCAATTTGGGGAAGCTCTCCAGGTTGAAGTTTGTGACCTTAGATTTCAACAATTTAGAAGGTGTGTTGCCCCCATCTTTGATGAATTGCACAAACCTTGTCGAACTGCGTTTGGGAAACAACCACTTGGAAGGAGATATCTCTGTGCTTAATTTCTCAAGATTGAGTCAACTTACTAAACTTGACCTACGGATCAATAACTTCACTGGTACGGTTCCAGTAAGCCTTTACTCATGTAGGTTCCTAAAAGCCATTCGGTTGACTGGAAATAATCTAGAGGGACAAATACAAGCTGAGATACTTTCATTGAAATCCTTGTCCTTCCTCTCGCTTGGTTACAACCGATTCACCAACCTCACAGGGGCAATGAAGATATTGATGAGTTGCAAAAGTCTTCACGCACTCTTGCTTAGCGGTTCCTTTGTGGGTGAGGGAATGCCATCTGATGATGACATGGTTGATTTTGATGGATTCCAAAATCTTCGGCTCTTGGGTTTGGTTCGTTCTAACCTCACTGGTAAAATACCTTTTTGGTTATCAAAGCTCAAGAAAATAGAGATCTTGGCTCTGGGTTTTAATCAAATCACAGGGCCGATTCCAAGTTGGTTGGGGACTCTTCCTAGACTATTTTATATAAGCTTGTCACACAACCAAATTTCAGGTAAATTTCCACAGCAACTTTGTCGACTACCAAGGTTGCTTCATGAACCAATTGCATCTCAAGGAGACAATTATGAATTTGAATTTCCTGTCTACAGCAGCAGCATCAGCATAACCGCAAATCAAACTTTTCTATCACAAAAATTGTATTTTTTTCCAGCAACGATAGACTTCTCTACGAATAACATTGTTGGTGATATACCCACGGAGATCAGCCAATTGCATCTTCTCTACACGTTGAGTCTTGACTCCAACAACTTCTCCGGTGTCATTCCAGACCAAATATCTAACCTAAAAAATTTAGAGGTTTTGAACCTCTCCATGAATCACTTGTCTGGAATAATCCCATCGTCATTGGCGAGCCTTAATTTCTTAAAAGAATTTAATGTCTCATATAATAACCTTGAAGGATCGATACCAACAGGCACCCAGCTCCAAAGCTTCGAAGCTTCTGCGTTTGAGGGGAACCCAAAACTTTGTGGTGCGCCACTTCCAAAGTGTGAACCAAATAAGGGCATTGATGCAGATAACAAGAACAACAAAGACGTGCACAATTGGCTTCATCAACTTCCATGGTTTTATATCTTTGCAGCATTGGGGTTTATAGTGGGATTTTGGGGAGTTTGTGGTTGTTTAATTATTAACAAGACTTGGAGATATGCATATTTTCGATTCATAAACAACGTACAGGATAGGCTCCTCTATGTGATGATAACAGTCCCCCTCAACAGGATGTACAGAAGACTTCGAGACTAGATATATATATTAATATTGTACTTTTTATTTTGCATTTTCAGTTTGCTTTTAATTTTTTTCTTTTTCTTCTTCTTCTTCATTTCTGGTCATGACAGATTCACCTAATAAATTTTTCACATAAAAACACTGCATTGTCGTGGGATGGACCTCTTCCATGAAGTGATAGGACCTATCCATCCTTTCTATTTCATTGCAATAGTTTAGATTCTATTTCCCGTAAAGCTAGGATACGGTTATCCTTTTGGCATCATTCAGAATCATTTATAAGTACTAATAGCTGGTACAGAAATGGGGTCATGAATGCCTTTCCTTTAATTTGCTTCTTTGTTTTCCTTTTCTGAATCTGCGAACCTATCATGAGGCCCTGAAAGAAAACAAATGCAATTAAAAAGGAAGAAGAAAAAGACTTAAAAACCAAAGACTTAAAATTGAAATGAAAATTCATGACTTGCAGCCAACACCGAAAAAATAAAGCAGACGGCGGAGCTTTGGGGCCTGGGGGGCCCGCTAATTCTTCTCCATTCATTTCTCTTCTCCTCTTCTTCAGATTCTTCTGTGCGAGAAGTTGAGTACTGAGAAAGATGACGACCTGTTTTTGGTCTGAAACTGAAATGGGTTGGATCATATCGAACTCGGCCAGAACCCAATACTTTATATTACAAATGTTGGTCCAGAACCGACCCAGTTCTGGCCCAATTTGCAGAAAAAAGCTTATCTTTTGAGACTTTGATTAGAATGCAGAGAATTGGAGAGCTGAAAATGGCGAAGAAATTGTTGAACGTTGCTATTATTTTCTGGGCATAGGTAATTTCTACTTCTTCTTTCTATTGTTGTTGAAGGCTGTATTTATGAATTTGATGTGTAGGTGGAGCTGAAAGACTAATTGTTGATGCGGCTGGGCATAAGTTCACGTTTCACTGCACACCATGACAAAACTCGATGCTCTGAGGAGACCGTTTCTGGTGTGTGTGCTTTCTCTGTTCCAATTTTATGTTTGATATTATGGATTCGTGGCATCTGTGTAAAATAGTAGTGGGGTTTACTTGAGGTTGGATTGTGTATGGTACAAAACATCGAACAAGAGTAGCTCTGTTATTTCTTTTTCATATGTGAGTTTGTTTGAAAGTTGAGTGCCCCCACCACCAAATAACATGGGAGGTCCACCGCCTAATGCAAGATGAGGGGTTCCTGGGCAATACCAAGATAACTACACACCAGGCAGGGACAATGGAGGCATCCCCGGTACAAACCGTTACTGTGCTTGAGGCTACGTCACCATGAGTCTTGTAGGCATGCTGTAGATAAGCAAGGAGGCTGCTCGAGATGGGCTGTAGGTTTTTATGTCACCGGTCTGGAATGATATTTTGTTTGGCTTATTGCTGGGTGCGAACCTGGTTGCCTTTTTATCTGAATATGATTACACTTTCAGGGTCGAATCTGATTGGATTAATCGTATCTTTGCTTTGCTACTTGGTACTAGTCATGTCATGTCATGTCATGTAGTGCACATATTTGCAGAAAGCAGAAGACTGTTTAACGAAACCACTATGATAGGGCAATGCTCTCTTATTTTTCCTATTAGTCATCCTCCTAATCAATTGAAAAATCTAAACAAAACCCAAAAAGCAATTATATGTGTAATTTTTTCTCTAGGTGCTTGCGCTTGTGCTTGGCTTAGTAACTTAAATACAGGAACAATGGTGAATACAACCCAATTCACTTCATCATTTGTTCATTCATTCCATTCAACAATACAAACAAAACCCACAACAAATAAATTAGTCTCTCTCAGTCTCAGTGCTTCTGCTTGCAGCTTGCTTTAGTAATTTAAGACAAGAACAAGTGATCAGAACCCATTTCAGTTCATCACCAACTCATCCAATTTCACATCCCAGTCAAACCCAAATTAAGAGTGATTATTTAGAAGCAAGATTAGTGGCAGACATGCCCATATATCTCAGGCCATGTCACTCTCAAGCAAGGTTAGTGAAAAATATTCATCCAATGGGCATCTTTTTAGTGTTTTTTGCTGTGATTTCTCACTGATTATTTTGGGAAGCTCTCCAAGTTGAAATTTGTGACCCTTGATTTCAACAATTTACAAGGTTCTTTGCCCTCATCTTTGATGAATTTCACAAACCTTGTAGAACTACACTTGGGATCCAATCCAACAACTTGGAAGGAGATATCTGCGTGCTTGATTTTTCCAGACTTAGTCAATAACTTTACTGGTACGTTTCCAATAAGCATTTACTCATGTAGGTCCCTGAAAGCAATTCAATTGACTTTACATCATCTAGAGGGGCAAATACAACCTCAGATTCTTTCATTGAAATACTTGTTCTTCCTCTCAATTGATGGCAATAGAGATTGACCAATGTCACAAGAGCAATGAAAGTACAAATTCATTGCACAAGTCTGCGCACACTCTTCCTTTCAGAATCCTTTATAACTGCCTCGCTTTCAAGCTAACTAGAAGAAAATCAAAAAATTAGATGCAACTTTCACAGAACTGCCTTTTAGCTTGCAGCTTGCTCGAAATTACAGAATTGCTACACTACAAATGCGACATCTGCATGCCAACATCCAAACACCCGTCTCCTAGAATCCTTCTCCACAACTCAACACAATTCACTTGTTTGGGGCTCATTTTATTGCTATCCATATATTTAGCAAGTAGTTGTTAAGTTGCCCACTCAGAGGGTTGAACATTTTGCTCTACTAAGAAACGTTATTATAGTAGTTGCCTTCTTGGGGGGCAACCAACTTGGAAAGAATGACTATCCTCCAATTTTGAATTTTCTTAGAAGAATCATCAACAAGAAAAACAACTTTGAACTTGGACTTTGAGTGATTAACATGGAAGATGAGCTGGTATCAGTTATCAGTTGCCTTAAAAATAAAAGGAAATAGTCAAAACATATTCCAGTTTGAATTCAACAAGGATTCTGTTCAGATATATCACGGTCAAGTCCTCTTCTGGTGGCCCAAAGGTTTCAATATCAATAATTTGCATTCAGTGGTTGTTGTTGCCCGACTTATCAATTTGCATTGTGTGGTGGTGGTTTGCATCGTTTTCAAGCATGGTTGTTCTTATATATATAACTACATGTGAGCAACGGCACATACACAAAGCAACATGCTAGTGCAAGCTTATAACCTAATGGCTCATGGCTTCTTTCTCTTCCTCTTACTCTCTTGCATTATATCTACAAATATTCATGCCTGCAAAGAAACTGACCACAGCTCCCTCCTATTCTTTGCCTCCAATCTATCTTCTCCTCCTTTAAATTGGACATCCATTGATTGCTGTCGTTGGAAGGGCATCACTTGTGATCAAGATGGTTGGGTCACCCGTTTGCTCTTGCCTTCCAAAGGGCTCAAAGGAGATATCTCTCCCTTTTCACTTGCATATCTCACACATCTCACCCACTTGAACCTTTCCCACAATTCACTATATGGTTCACTTGAAACTCAGTTCTTCTTTTCTTTGAATCAACTCGAGATCCTTGATTTGAGCTATAACCGTCTTTTTGGAGAGCTACCACTTTCTCTACAATCCAGCAATATCCGGATAGTCGATTTGTCCAGAAATCACTTCTCTGGTGCAATTCCATCTTCATTATTCCAACAAGCAAGCAACTTGACTAGTTTCAATGTTAGCAACAATAGCTTCACAGGGTGTGTCCCATCCTCTATTTGTCTCCAACATTCTTCTCCCTTCCTTAGGCTATTGGATTTTTCTTCCAATCTATTCAATGGCAGCCTTGCTCCTGGGTTAGGGAAGTGTTCCAGATTGCAGGTTTTTCGTGCCGGTCACAATAACCTCTCGGGATTATTTCCAGAAGACATTTATAATGCTACCAGACTCGAAGAAATTGCATTGCCTCTGAGTTCACTACATGGAGCCGTTAGTGACAAAATTGTCAACCTTACTAACCTTGCAACCCTTGATCTCTTCTATAATCATTTTGGCGGCGAGGTTCCTCTCAATTTGGGGAAGCTATCTAAGTTGAAGTTTGTGACCCTTGATTTCAACAATTTAGAAGGTGCTTTGCCCCCATCTTTGATGAATTGCACAAACCTTGTAGAATTGCATTTGGGATCCAACAACTTGGAAGGAGATATCTCCATGCTTGATTTTTCCAGACTTAGTCAACTTACTAAACTTGACCTAAGGAATAATAATTTCACTGGTACAGTCCCAAGAAGCCTTTACTTGTGTAGGTCCCTAAAAGCCATTGGATTATTCGGAAATCATCTAGAGGGACAAATAGAAGCTGAGATTCTTTCATTGAAATTCTTGTCCTTCCTCTCCCTTGGTTACAACCGATTTACCAACCTCACAGGGGCAATGAAGATATTGATGAGTTGCAAAAGTCTTCAAGCACTCTTGCTTAGTGGTTCCTTTGTGGGTGAGGGAATACCATCTGATGATGACATGGTTTATTTTCATGGATTCCAAAATCTTCGATTGTTGAGTTTGGCTAATTCTAACCTCACTGGTCAAATACCTTTATGGTTATCAAAGCTCAAGAATCTAGAGATCTTGGCTCTAGGCTCTAATCAAATCACAGGACCAATTCCAAGTTGGTTGGGGACTCTTCCTAGACTGTTTTATATAAGCTTGTTAGACAACCAAATTTCAGGTGAATTTCCAAAGCAACTTTGTCAACTGCCAAGGTTGCTTTATGAACCTAATATTGCATCACAAGCAGACCAATATGAATTTGAATTGCTTGTCTTCGGCTTCAAAATAAACACAAATCAAACTTTTCCTATGCAGAAATTGTCTTTCTATCCAGTAACGATAGACTTATCTAACAATAACATCAGTGGTTCTATACCCGTTGAGATTGGCCAATTGCAGCTTCTCCGTTGGTTGTCTCTTCACTTCAACAACTTCTCTGGCATCATTCCAGACCAAATATCTCACCTAAAAAATTTAGAGATTTTGGACCTCTCCATGAATCACTTGTCCGGAATAATCCCATCATCAT